GGATGTCATTTATGACTTTTATTAAATTTTGATAGTCGTTACGAATCGAATCATTTAGTGACAGATGTTCTTTTAATTTTTTACTTTTCATTGAATGTCTATATTTTTCTAATTATCTTTTATTCTGTTTTTAATTTAAACCCAGAGTAAATATTATACAATGACTAGAAACGATTTGATCAAGAGTAGTAGATCAATGTCAAGAACCGCTATTCTATGACGCTACCTGTTACGACGCCATCTTGTTGCACCAGTTCCGTGACGTTCGCCTCAGCATTTTACTGTGGAGAAAAAAATAAATACGACAGTATAAAAGCTTTCCTTTAAAAGTATTATACAGTTTTTTTATTTGATTTTATCATAATTACAACAACTATTTGAATAACCAATCACTAAGAAAAATAAATAAAGCTACACTTGTCAAAGCTAAGGCAATGTTTTTCAAAATCCCTGCATTATACATATTCTCCTCGCATAATCTATAATATGTATAAATCCTTCGAGCCTTGACACAAAACCGACGTTTACAGTTTTATAAATAAAAATCCTTTTAAAATTCTAGTTTTATTCTTACCACACGCGCCACGGGAAACATATCCCGTACTGATTCTTTTCAACCGACCGACATGCAAAGGCTGAATAAAAATAACAAGAACGTAAGTCTTGGACAATAGCGTGCTCCAATACGAAATAAAATAATTCAAGGGGACAAAAGTAAAAAAAATGGTTTAAAGAAAGCTTATTTTAAATGTAAAAGAAAAATATTCTTCAATAGAAACATGTTAGATAAAAATATCGGTACCTTCCTCGCCAGGGCAATTGAATTTGTTATTTTTCTTGATTTATGTACTAGTTACGCACTTCAACACTCAAAAGTATTTGTATTTGTTGCAAGTGTTTTGTTCACGTTCAAAAAGTGCACGATCAAAAACGTCGTCCAGAAATAATATTCAATGGTTTGATGACGGAGTTGTTAAACGGACATCAATTATCAACAAAACAAAAATGCTGTAAAAAAGATGATTCATGGCTTTAAAATGTTTATAGTCCAGGTTGTGAGGCCATTCCAGTAGCAAAAATGTTTCTGATTCGATTTGTACGGATTCCTGTTCAAAAATACCCCCTTTAAGCAAATGAGAAAGACTCTTGGCAAAATTTTTGGACAGATTCCAAACACATTCCAAAAATAACCGGTTTTTGCTCCGTGAAACATTTTTTTTGTTTCTTGGATCATTTTGAACAGAAAAGTCTTGTGTCATTTTCATCTAAAGTTGATAGTTGATATTCAAGTTATAAACAATTTTAACCCTCGAGCGAGCGCGCCTGTGTATTTTGTACACGTCCAATAGAAAAAGTCGTCTAAAACATAAAACTTGTTTACATAAACATTTCAATGGTAAATATCTTTTTATTTTACGTAAACAGTTATTACAAATAAAAATATCTAAATTTATGAACAAACATTTGTCTGTTCTGGATCTGGATCCGACTTGTGCGTCCCATGGGACATAAAATGGAAGCTGGACAAATCCTGGGAGAAATGGAACAGCAAAACTGCGCTTTAAGTCATCCTGGATGATAACAATATGTATTTTTTAAACTCGGCCGCCTATTTTTCTTAAAGTCATGTCGGCTTAATTAGCTCTAATCAACGCTGTTATTAAATTACTACTTAATTAAATCACGTTGTTTTCACCAAAACTCATGAAATTTAGCGAAAATTTGCGTTTTGTAAAACTTACTGCGAATGTTTCACCGTTCAGACTCTTCTGAATTGTTTTTCTTTTAATGGCTCTTCTTCTTCATGTACCATGTCCTTTCAGAACGTTGGTTACCATCATAGCTATTTTAATATTATTTACTGCCACCCTAAATAACATGCTTGTATCTACACCATACTAATCTCGCAAGTTCTTCAACCATGAGGTTCTTCTTCTTTCTGGACTGCGTTTGCCTGCTATTTTTCCTTGCATGATATTTTGTAGCAATCTATATTTGGGACCTCTCATTACATGTCCGAAATATTCCAGCTTTCTCTGCTTGATGCTTTTTATGATCTCAGTAGTCCTGCTGAGACGTTCTAGTACTGTGGAGTTACGAATCTTCTCCACCCAGGAAACTTTTATAATTCTTCTATAGCACCACATTTCGAAAGCCTCAAGGCGATTTAGATCGATTTTATTCACAGTCCAGGACTCGACAGCATAAAGTAAGACCGAGAACACGTAGCAGCGAAGTAGGCGGATCCTTAATGCCAATTTTAGGTCTCTGTTACATAACACCTTGAACATCCTTCTAAAAGCAACTCTAGCCTGCTCTATTCTGGATCTAATTTTGCCGTGATTTTCTGCATTACAATTTAATTGCTGTCCAAGGTAGACGATTTTATCAACTTGCTCAAGTTTGGTATTATTTACATATATAGACGGTTTTATATTCTGTTGTTTACTTATTACGATTATTTTGGTTTTCCTTATGTTAAGATCCAGACCTGCCTCCCTACAACTCTCAACGACACTATCAAGTAGTGTTTGCAGATCTTCTTGACTAGAAGCTAGGAGTACTGTATCGTCCGCATATCTCAAATTATTGATGACTTCGCCGTTCACAAGTATTCCTTCTTGTTTTTCAGAAAGTGCTTTTCTGAAAATTCTTTCGGAGTAAACGTTAAGAAGCAGGGGTGACAAGAGGCATCCCTGCCGTACTCCTCTTTTAATATTGAGAGCTTGTGATTCCACACTATCTACTAAAACTGATGTTGTTTGATTCCAATATAAATTCGCAATTATTCGAACATCTCTGCCGTCCAAGCCAATGTCTTTTAGAGCTTCGATCAATATAGAGTGCTTAACACGATCAAATGCCTTTTGAAAGTCAATAAAACAACAGTATATGTCTACAGATATATCACGACATCTTTGAGCAAGTACGTTCATTCCAAACAGTGCCTCTCTCGTTCCAAATCCGTTACGGAAACCAAACTGAGTGTCATCCAGGTATTCCTCACATTTATTGTAGATACGACCATGTATTACCTTCAGAAAAATTTTCAATAAGTGGTTTAACAAACTGATGGTTCTATAATCAGCACAGGTTTTTGCTGTTGTCTTCTTAGGTAGAGCTATAAACAGTGAGTTAGACCAACCATTAGGTAGTTGTCCGATGGTATAAATGGTATTGAAAAACGAAGTTATAGCCTCTTAAACATTGCAATCCTTTATAAGCTTATATATTTCAGTTGGAATTTCATCAGGACCACTCGCTCTGCCATCTTTTGATGATTGTATGGCCTTTATAACCTCACAGCATGTTATTAGGGGTCCGTCGCAGTTAGTAATATCGGGAGGTGAACTACTCTTATCGTCTTCGAATAGGTTCGTGACGTTATTTAAAACAAGTACACACGTGTTCTTCTTGAACAGCTCTGATCGACTGTTATTTCTAAATTCCTACTATGCACTTGAAAGGCGATTGCGCTAATCGTTATTGCCCTTGAAAATTTACGAGCTAACAGAAACGGCATTATAATTTATTAGGGTATATTAGGTACTCAATGATGCCAACGTTCCCATTTTGGGACATGGCTAATTCCGACAATTTTTTTCAAAAAGTAATGAAAGAATTCAATCGCAGAATAAACTATTTACTAAAGTAGTCAATTGGCTACCTTTCTTTAAAAAATATTAGCAATAGAATAATTTTTGCGGACTTGATAACAAGAACCGTAATACGAATCAAAAAATTGAATTTTTGTGCTTTTTACTTTTTTTTAAGAAAATGAACCCAAATCTAAGTACATTTTTTTGAAAAATAGTAAGCCACTTACCTTTACAAAACATTATGTAGTGCGATTTACAAAAATAATTGCATAAACAATCCTAAAAAAATGTTTTAATAGGTGTTCCTAAAATGGGAACGTTGGCAGTTAAAAGGTTAAACAATGAAAGCGCCCGCCTCTTACGGCGCCCTATCGATAAGTTGGACTTCTACAATGAAAGCGTCTGCTTCTTACGACGCTCCATCGCGAAGTGACAATATCCTCAAAAATCATTATAAACATAAGCGGAAAGATTCTTGTTTATTTCGTGAGCAAATGTCTAGGAGGAATCAATATCAATTGAAAGAACAATTATAATTATTATAAACAGACTCGAAAACGTTTACATTACCAATCTTAGAGACCCAAAAAGCTTAAGAATATTTTTCGGTGTTTTGTAAAACAAGGAGTGAAACGAAAATGTTAAAAATCAATCACTGACCATCGTCCTTTATTCGATGTATGCCGTTTTGTATGTTGTGAGTAGGAAAGAAACGTAATATGATGAACTGTATACATACATACACGGTGTTTAATGCAACATTGGTGAGATATTTACATTATAGTATAAAATATCCAAATAAGTTATTACGAAATAATATAGGCAATGACCAAGCTAGGCTTGAATAATATGCCGAATTATACGGGGTGGTAAAGTAATACTCTACAATTTAATACAATTGTTTAAATAGGTGAATCAACCACCGGCCATCGTCCTACGGCTGTCTTTGTTCGATTTATGCTATTGTGTATGAATAGGCGACTTAAGTTCATGGATTTAGTTTCTGTGAGTAGGACAAAAACGTATAAAACGTATATGAAAATGTAATTATATGTTGTTTGTGCTCTTTTGATCGTAAATTTTGGTCTTTCTTCAAAGGAGAAGGTAAGGGCACGAGGAAGTTCCTAAATGGTTGTATCTTTTTTATGTATCTATAAATATAGCAGTATTAGCTTCCAAAAAATTTCTTAAGATAATGAGTATTACTTTTGGGTCTTTAAGAAAAAATATTGCACTTATAAAAGGAATACTCCCCTTTGTTTTATGTGTTCTCGGTGTAGATTATATAAACCCTTAATGCAAAAGATCATTTATTTTCTTTCTCGACGCTTATGTAAAGAACTTGTCTAAAATTTACTTAACCCCAATTTTTTAACGTTTAAAAGAAAATGTGTTTTTTAGGTATTACAAAAAACCACAATCTAGCGGAGTGTTTAAAAGACCGTCCGCCCTTTGTCTGCCAGTTGCGACCCAGCCCGATCCGGCGGTAATTCGCCGGCCCAAAAGGGCCTATTTCAGCGAAAACATCTACGGAATGCAAGAAACACAGGTAAGTAATAATGTGGAACACAATATATCCGACCATGCAACAAATTACAGCTATTGAATTCGGGCGTGACGGGAAAAGAAAGAGTTTTAATCAGATGTAGTAAATAGCGGTAAATGAAATTCTGGCGGGAGTGCCAAGAATTATCGTTATTTAACATTACAATCAGTATATTTGTGTCAAAAAAGGTAGAAAAGTAAACAGAACATTCTAAATTACATAAATATTCCATAAATATTCCATTAATTTTAATATAAATTCTATTAATACCGTTTCAGATAGCAAGTATATATGTACAGGGTGTCCCAGACTAATTTACCCACGCTTGTAACGAATATTTTGCTTACCACAGGGTAAAAATATGGGGGGACAAGATTGGGCAAACAAAATAATCGAATCAAGTGCATACGGCACTCAGTTAGTTGTTGGAGAGCTGGGTCGTGGATAAGTTGAAGATATTGGGGGTTGGATTGGGCAACTACAAAAAAAAAAGAAATTAAGGGGTACTTATACAAATCTCTTGGGACAAACAGAATGAAAATAAACGGAAACACCTTAAGAAATTTAATATAGGGCGCCACTTGAGGTGCCTAATTATACCTATTACAATCACTAGTTGTAACTAGGGAAATAATTATAGAACATCAAAAGTATAGAAAAAAATATCTCTAGGAAAGCTACTCGGACAAAACTTTCAAAACTGGAAGGCAGCAACCATCAGGAACTAGTTCTACACTCCAGGGCAAAACGATTGGAACAGAACCTTGGTGGAAGAATCAAACGGACTACGGGGACATCCTATATCATACTTCTTAGAAGCTTCCGGTATTTATTCAAATCTGATAGTATTATCATTGACCGGTCCTAAGACATTTCAAAAGAAATTGAATCCTCTTTGATTCAAAAATGGCCCAATATTTCACATCCGCAAAAAGCGTCTACCACCGTTTCAAATAGGTTTTTGGACTCACATTGTAGCACGTCTGCTCTGCTTCAAATCTAATCGTCCACTCTTATTTTACGTTACATTTTTACAAATTCAAAGCCAAAAAATTTCCGTTCCGTCTTACAGCTAGCCTGTCGTCCACAAACTTAAAACAAACAATCTTCCCCTTGTTATTCGTTCCTAACGATGAAAGACAAATAAAACCTTTTTTTATCAGGAGGCATCATAAATTATAATCCCTTTATATACAAAAAAAACTTCGTTGAAATAGATATACATAATACAAATTAACAAAATAGCACGTATTTTAATCCGGAGTTCTACCTGACTTTGTAACAAAAGGTTTGATATTTGAATCTAAACACAGACAAAAACATATATATTTACTTTTGAATCGGTAGAAATATACGCGTTATTGATTATTCTAACCAGAATATTAGGGGGACTTCATGTAACATAATACCTCTTTGGCGACAAAAAACTTGTTGTTTCACCTGACATTGCAAAACAGAGATAAAAACATATTTCCAGCGTTAATACGCATTTAAAAATCTCGTCAAAAAAACTTTAAATATTATTTCGATTGTTTTCTTTAGTAAAAACAACAGGAGCGTACTACAGAAATCTTTTATATACACCTTAATTTAAAAAAAAAACGCTACACGCTATATCTCTTAAACGAATAGAGATTTTCTAATAGGACAAAAAGTGATCTATTCTACTTGTAATACACTGTAATGTGGCGTAGAAAAAAATTGTCCCCTAAATATTCATCCCTTAGTTACAACAATAACTTTCATTTTTTTAATAGCACCCTGCTTAGGTATGTTTTTATAGTTTTGGATGTGGTCTTCTATCGTCTATTTAACCGATTTTTTTTTATAGGTTTTAATGGGTTTTTAAGGTATCAAGAAAATATCAGTTTATTTTTTATTTTTGTTAAATTAATCAAGATAGCCTAGATTAAAATAGAATAGAAAAAAATATGCTTTATTGTCACTGAAATTAGATAAATCGTCAATATTACAAAATAAAAGAATGAAAGTAAAACAAAAACAATTTATTGTAAACTTTAAATGAATTGCAAATTGAACCTAGTACTCGTACAAATAAAATACAACCTTAGGAATATTAAAAGTTAAAGGAACAATAAAAATAAATGCAATAAAAATTACACGATAAAATAAGTCACAACACCATCTAACTAACTAATATTATTTACATTAAATCATGGCCTGGAATCTTATATGAATGACTTGGTTCATTCCCCATCACTTTGACCCCAGCGAGTTAATAAAGAGAAATGACAGCCTATCTCTCTCACGAAGACTTTAACCAATCATAAACCAAATAAAATAATCAAACGAAGCAATGTCAATTCTGTCAAACCAAATTAATGACAGATCTTCCGTTTGTTTACAAGTTTTCAATTTTATTTTATTATCTTTAACTTTCGTTTGCATTTATTCTTAGTAATTTTAATTTAAATTTGGTTACTTAATTTTTAAAGTTTATTTTGAGTTACCTATTGTAGCAAAGAATTTTTGTGTTGTGCTAGTAACAAAACTAAACATGGTGAATTATTGTATTGTTCGTTGTGTACAAATCATGGAAAAATTACAAAGGAATGATAGTAAGTGGTCAGGAAGCAAAAAATAATAGTATTTAACTTCTGCAAATATGTGTAATAAATATTATGTAATTATTTTATAACTGTTTTATCTTAAACAACAAATAAATATACGTATATCTAGAAAAAATTGTGCATCTTATATCCTTATTTTCCAATAAATTTTAATTAGTAACGAATTAGCCCACAAGAGGCGCTAAAGGGTATGTATGTAAGGGGTGTTCATTCGAATTTGCCGCCAAAAGATGATTAGTATTGACCCCAGCCGCAACGGGTATAAAAGAAATTTATACATTGAGTTGCCTATCTATTTCTACTATTATATTATTTATCTATGCATTAAATGTTCTAATTGTTACCCACCTGCTGCAACAGACATTTCGAATCGTTCCAGAAGATTTCTGGTAAATGTGGCTCGAATCATTTCGAGCTCGAGTAATTTGGCGACATGCTTGTCTTATTTTTTCTTTTAATTCCTCTAAATTTTGCGGTTTTGATTGATGAACAATATCTTTTTTCGCTCCCCAAAAGAAAGAGTCAAGAGGTGAAAAATCACATGAACGTGCGGCCCACATAATTTCGGGAGAGTTGTTTGCTATCCAGTGGTTATTATAACGGTTTTGTAGGCGGTCGCTAACGATTCTCGCATTATGTGGAGGAGCTCCGTCTTGTTGCCACCACATTTCTTGACACTCATGAAGAGGAATATCTTCTAGCAAATCGGGTAGAATGTTTTCTAAACAGTGTAAATATCGAACACCTGTTAGAGTGACGTTAAAAAATAAGGACCTATAACACGGCCATTAAATAAACCGCACCACACATTTGTATCCCAAATATTCTGAAATCTTGTTTCCATCATCCAATGTGAGTTCACGGGAGACCAATAATTGGAATTGTGACGATTGACAACACCATTATTGTGAAATCTAGCCTCATCACTCCACAATATTTTTGATAAAAAAAGTGATTATTAACTATAAACTGACTATCAACTATAACTGTAAACTGTAAAACTGATTTTTAACATCATTTTTGCAATAAAGTCAAGACGTTTTTGGCCATCGCCAGGCTGTAATCCTTGAACTAGTTGCACTTTAAACTGCTACATCTTACTGTCCGTTCAATTATGCCTCTTTTATTATTAGGAAAATGTTCCTATCAAAGTTATCGTTTAAAATTCTTAAAGGTTTTTTCACTTGGAATGTTTCGATTTGGAAACCTTTCTTGATATAATTGTCGCGAAATTCTCCTCTTTTTAGGGATTCTCCATAAATCAAAATGATATCAACGTACTCGTCAGGCGAAAATAAATAAGGCATATTGAAATGTTATAGATACACAATTACAATAAATATAATTATTACTGGTCTAATACCAAACGTCAAAAATAATAATTGTTGATTTGATAGATCAAATCATGGCAACCTGAATTAAGGGTAATATCCAAGACGTAAAATAACCGCAAAAGTTTTTCAAATATTGTGACTTTATTATAAGAGATTTTTTTGTTAATTTTTGCCCACTTAATTTTGCACACTGGAAGATAACGTATGCTCTCACAAAGACCAAATTTTGAAGAATTAAAAATAATGTTTAAACACAAAGAGTGTGTTCGACACAATCTAACGACTACATTGGCACTAGCCCCCAGATCTGGTTCTGTATTTAGACGAGCTCTATTTTCTTGGCCAGTGTAAATTTCAAATTGATAAGAAAAGCCACTTACACCACTTAACTGAAACAGTTTAAATCCCCATTTATGTGGTTTAAGGGGCAAGTATTGTTTTAGATAATGCCTGGCCTTAGTTGCACATAGTTGTTCATCTACACATAAATATTGTTCATGAGGTATACTCCCAAATTTCAAATTTAAATGTTCTACAACATTTCTCAATTTATAAAGACGATCTGCTTGTGGATCATCCTTAGCTTTTATTTTTGAGTTATCTGTAAAATGAATCACTTTTCTGACATGATCAAAAGCATGTTGGCTCATTGTTTCTTTTATTTGGGACACTCCAATATTTTTAGACCAGTAGCAACGTGCATTAGGCAAATGGATGACTGATATATAGAGCAATATTCCAATAAATTTACTGATGTTATCTGTACCAATGTTGGCTGGCTTAGCAGGATTATTTTGAAAACTGTATAAATTAGATTGGTTGACAATCTCTTGCAACAGATTGTCGTCAAAAAAATATTTAAAAAATTTAAATGGAGTAGACAATTCTTGTACACATGCAGGTAATGAAGAATCACCTTTGAATGCTAAAACATCTTCATTTAACAGTAAATTTCTTTTTTTCCATAAAATACTTTTGAATTTGTCTTTAAATAAATGCAAATCATTAGGATTTTCATCTAAGTCTTCGCTAATATATTCGTTTTCGGTCTCATTAACGTTTTCATCTAATTCATTTGTTATGTCTCCGATATTCTCTATTTGTTCTCCATCATTTTCTGCTATATTTTCCAGATCTGCCCCACTCAACTCATCTTCAAATACCACTGGAATATTTGATATGTCTATATTTTGTAAACCTACATCATTATTTACCGTACCTCATAAAATAATGGTAGATTCTCGATAAAACTAATACTAGATGACTTGTGGATGTGTAATAAACAGTAAACACAATTTTGCACACTCAATTTTCAATAATAATCACCTATATAATGTTTCAAAACTCAGCATTATCGTCAACACGATCGAAGTGATAACTGACCAATTCGCGCGATTTATAAAATATTAGAGGACGTTTCAAGGTTACAAAATGTATGTATCTAATAGAGTAGTATATCGAATATGTTACATAGTGTTGTTTGGATTTAATTTTATTTCACTGTGTTTACCGTGTAAATTCTCGGTATGTTTCATATATGATACATTGAGCAGTGTAGGGTTAAAAAATCTCTATTTTATTAAGAAATATAGCCTGGATAATTTAGTCTGGGACATTTAATTAAAAAAAAATATATATTGATTTCTTGATTATTTACAAACCGATTTTATTTTTAATAAATTTATTGAATAGACGATAAAAGACCATATCCAAAACTATAAAAAAATATACAAGGTGCTATTAAAAAATTAAAGTTAGGGGTTGTAACCAAAGGATTAATTTTTAGAGGATGATTTTTTCTTCGCTATATTTAAGTGTATTACAAATAAAATAGATCACTTTTTGTCACATTCGAAAATCTCTATTCGTTTAAGAGATATAGCGTGAGTAAATTAGTCTGGGACACCCTGTATATTCATTGAATACATTTTGTCAAAAAAGTACACTTTATATCATCAAATTTTTCTACTTCTTCATGGATTCATCAACATTGATTAAGTTTTGTTCAATTTAGTTTTTACAACGATGTTGTGACTATATTTTTGGTGGTCTTGCTATAAATTCCTTTATCACAGTTGATAATCTCGAACGTACTATCATAAATCAGCGAAGAATAGTTTCAAAATTATTTATAGAGAGTTATATTTAATGAAAAGTACTTGTTTTACTTGCTTGTTGATGTTTATATCGCTAGAGTTACGGCTTTTATTTTACAGGAACTGAAGAGCTTACAATCGATGATAGCTAACCAGCTAGTCGAACGAGAAATACCACCTCATCGAGTGGATTCAGAAGGTGATGTTAATGCAAGTGTAAAAAGTTTGAAGATTCCACCTCTTGATAAATATTTTGAAGGAATTGAAAAGAACAATATTTGCCAAAATGGTGATAACAATCCCGATCTGGCAAAAATTACCAAGTTATTAAAACCTAAGGTAATATGATTTAGTGTTAATGTTTTATATGTACACTTTTCTTCTTCATTCCAAGACTTCCTTTACCAAACTTTGCTTAATCATGTCCCTTGTGTGAAATTTTAAAAATTGAATGAGCGAAATATTAGTGATTTGGAGTGTAAAAATGTCGCGACTTAAAATCATTGTAGAATCTGTTCAAAAGCACCTAAAAATGTTTTTAAAACAAAAATAAATGTCTTTTTCATACTTATAAATTTTACATTTACTTTAGACCACATGGTCAGTTGCTGTGCTAATTTTTTATAAGTTGCTAGATATTGTTAGTTAATTAATTGTTTATACAATATCACCGTATAATGTCCATTTACTTGAGTTTTATTCACAAACTTGTTAATATTTTTGACTGCTACATGTCTTTTTAAGGTAACATTTATAACATCGTTTCCATGATTGTGTGGTTCTCATATTGTACTTTTTAGATAAACTGATGATGCTTTCAGAATACGAAAGCGAAACGTCTTCAAAATAGATAAAGTAGCCTATCAACTTTGTCTTTTATTTCTCCACTTTGAGACCGATATAAGAACCCACCACTCGTCTGAGTGATCCTTTATATATATATATATATATATATATATATATATATATATATATATATATATATATATATATATATATATATATATATAATATAAAATTAATGTTTCTTGGGTTTAGGTTCAATAATTTAATTTATATTAAATATAATACGGTTCAAGAAACTCAAAACTACAATATATATATATATATATATATATATATATATATATATATATATATATATATATATATAATAAAGAAAAATTTAAATAAGTGTGGCGAGATTTAACTTGAGACGGGAAGAATTTTGTTTAAATCCAATAAATTTTTTGCGATCGTCTAGTGAAAATAAACCTTTTTCTGCAAATCTCCTAAAGTAGGGACAAAAATCCACTTACTGCAAAAACTTGTTCTGTCCGTCACTTAATTAGAGAAAAAGGCCAACAAAGGTACAAATTGAATAACACAGTTGAGCAGAATAACCCACAAACTTTTAAAGAGATTAGTGAAGTGTTAATTTGTAATGGCTGTCTAAATTGCGCATAATTTGAATTAGAAAACCGTAGATTTAGAATAAGAATATTAACAAACTTTTGTTTGGATCCAGGCAAGTGGAAGTTTTCAATTTTAAAGTTATATTGTGACAATCAAATCAAATAAATTAGACATAAATCCAATACTAATGTGATGAACTTAAAATCCATTGACAATAATCTCATTAAATATTATAAATACTAAATGTGTTAAAAATGTCTACGACGGTTTATATTTGGATATAAAATATGTCCAATATACATACAGTGTGTCCAATTAAGTCAGCACCAACTCAAATCAAGTTAAACAAAATTACTTAGAATTAAATAACAGCAGACATTGCGGCATTGCTAAGAGGGCATTACATCATATCTCCTTTATTATTGGTCCGATTAAAGCGTGTGATATTCTAAATAAAAGGTAAGACATTGCGGCATTGCTAAAAGGGCATTACATCATATCTCCTTTGTTATTGGTCCGATTAAAGCGTGTGATATTCTAAATGAAAGGGAATGATATCACGATTATATTAAGATAGAAAAAACGAACAAGGCGAGTACCAAAAGGGTACTACACTGTGTTATTCTAATAATAAAATTTATATTTTTTGACCAACTGATTGTATAAATGATTAAAAAAATTTAATATTGGATTATTGTACATACGCTGGCACAACAGCGCTGGCATGGTAGTAGCATCATGTAAACACTTTTTGGGCAGTCCAGCGCTGTCTGTTAGCGCTGTCTTGAATAGAGAGCTAATCCACTTTTGATGACAGTGGCTCTCGTCCAGGTCCTCTTTAACCCTGCGCCAACGCTTGTAGACATGTGTAAACACATCGTTCCAGTCGCTGCAGTACTTGTGAAGAGTACCACAAACGATTGACTTCAAGAAAGTGGAAACCGACGTGCCAGTAAGACTGGCGCCAGCTACTGGATAGGTGAAAACTTGCCTATCCAGCGCTGTCTTAGTCAAGCACTGGCATGTCAATGAGACAGGTGCCAGTTACTGAATACACGTAAACTTGGCTTAAAGAATAACTTTTTTTCTTAAAACTAAAAATGAAATATTTCCCGAATTCAATCCAATTAAGACAGCACTATATTATCTTACCTTCAATTTTCTACTTTTAATTTTTATCCATGTTTGGAAAATACACTATAAAATCTATGTTTTATTCATTTATTTTAGATACCAGCCAGTGTGAAAGCTCGTCAAGAAAAAAACAAAGCAAAAATACTGACTAAAAAGCAAAGTTTAGAAAAAATGGACAATCAAACAGAGAAACGGGAAAATAAAGAACCAGCTGAATCTTCTAAAGTTTCGTTAGAAAAATTACTCAACCAACTTAAAAAATGCGAAGAGTCAGCAGGAAAGCAAGACGTTGTAAAAGAAGAAGAAACAAAGAACAAAAGGACTCAAGTAGATAAGAAAGAACAAAAGAGAAGTGAATGTGGTGAAAGAAGTGAATATACAGACGAGGAGGTATGTCTATACAATTAAATTAATTAAATTTTATCCACGTATTTTATCATTTTTATCAACATGACTGGCATGACAACACTTTTTGAGTCTTTTTCAGGGTTTTTTCTCCTCTATTCTGATTTGTTTCCTTTTTATTCCACTTTTTCTGTTTTTGAGACCATTTTCTATTGGTTCCATGAATCTTTCCATCGGCCTTTCTTTTGTTTCCTTTTTCTACTGGCACTTAAGGACCACTACGAGCTTAGTATGCATGCTCGCTTATACTCTAACCAAGAGTTTGTTAGAGACATCTCAACCGCAATAAAAGTTTGTCGAAAACTCTACTTTCTTAACGACTTTTTATGCTGTAAATCGAAATTAGAGTATCTGTTTTATCTATGCCACCATTGATTATACTTTTGTAGAAATTTGGGTCAACTTCGTCAATGAAACATTTTGTTTTTTTTTTATTCTAACATCTTCTTTACCAACCCCAAAGATCACTGGGTTGTTATCCTACCATTTGTTTACTTCAATTCCATCTAAAGAGATAACGTGTTTAGTTGATCCTCTAGAGATAGTTTAGAAAACTTATTGATTCTAGCAGTACCAGCAACAAGTCTTGATTTTTGATTGAGAATTTTATTAGATAATTGTTGTGGTACATATTGAACATTCTGTAACCATTTTACATATTTTTTCAGAGTAATGAAATTGTTATAGTTATCATCGTTTTCGCCATATTCATCATCATCCTGGTTTTCTTCCCAATTATCCTCTTCTCCATCCTTTCCCTTGTTTTGATTTTCTGATACATCATCTATCACCTGACACCCTAATACCCTGTCTTACTTGTAAAAGGTGTTTTTTAAGGTACAGAACTTTAAAATCAAGTTTTTCAATCAAATCAATTTTCAATCAATCAAATCAAATAAAACAAAGATGAATTTTATAAATTGGCATGAAATTGACTTTATTCGAAAAGCAATCTTTTGGCTTTATAATTTAAATATGATTTCTGGCATATATATACAGGGTAAGTCATGAGGAACTTTAACATACTTCTACCATATGTAGAGTCCCACAGGGAGCATATCACGTGGCCACTAAAAAATGTCAACTCCTCTTCTTTATTAATTAACAGGGTGATTTGTGTAATTGACCATTTATTTCATTTTACTGTAGTGTTTATACGGCTCATTTGATTTTTTTTAATTTTTGCATGATACAGTACACTACTATCAAGCATTCGACTGGTATTAGCTAAACTAAAAAATTCCAGGACTAGCTGTGGAAAAATTAATTTAGGGATTCGTATTAAATATTACACCCTGTATATATTTTTATTAAAATGCAATAAGGGATTTTCAAACTACATAAATAGCCAATGAAAACGACATATGCGACAATGTTGTCGCACTTTTATTAAATTTTTAGTGAACCATCAAATCTTACCAAAAATAGAACAACCATAATGAAGTATCAAATTATAAGGTAATTAATTTAAGCAAATGTTATAAATTTCAAACATTTTAATTGAAATGATAAACTGAGTCACTGCACAACAAAAAACAATAACTACTATCAATAACGAAGAACAATTAAAAAAAAACTAAAAATATATACATAGTTATGATAAGCCGATAAATTAGAACTGGAAAAGATACAATAATGGTAACAAAATAAAAATAATTCAAAAAGATTTTCGAAATGGAACCCTGCAGCCTGTACACATTTTTGTTGCCGAATTGTTAATTGACGTATTGAATTACGGATACTCTGGGGATCGTTTCTAATAGTATTACAACAATGTATAATTCTATCAATTAATTGTTGTCGGTTATTAATATTCACTGCATAAACTAGTTGCTTCAATCGTCCCCAAATATGATAATCAACGGGATTAAAATAAGGGGATCTTGAAAGCCACGAAATAGGACCTGCACGTCCTATCCACCTGTGGCCATAAACATTATTGGGATGTTGTCTCACTGCCAGTAAAAAGTGTGTGCCCCATCATGCTGAAAATACATCCCTCGGATAGCAACGTTCGCGTTGGCAAGCAAATTCAGCAAAATATTTTGTAGAAAGTTCAAATAGACCTGCCCTGTTAAAGGACCATCAAAAAAGTGAGGATCCTACTAATTGGTTATTTATGACACCAATCCACACGTTAACAGAAAACCTTAACTGAGAACGACGTTTTCGAATAGCATGGGGATTTTCTTCTGCCCACACATGTGAATTTCGTGAATTATTTATCCCGTCTCTGGTAAATTGGGCTTCATCTGTAAATAGTGTCCTGTATAGCGTTGGTCGATTATTGTTAATCCATCTACAAAATTCCAACCTATCGATCTCATCTCCAGCATGTAGTCGCTGAACCATTTGAATGTGATATGGGTATAGATTATTTTTTTGTAAGACTCTACTTACTTTTGATTGAGTAACATTCAGTTCTCTACTTACTTGTCTAGTGCTTATTGTAGGGTTCATAGTAACGGCGTCCATAATGTCATCTTCCTGCGCTTCATCTACATGTCGCTCTGTTGTTCCACTAGGAAAAGTGCCATTTTCTCGCAAATAATTAAAAACGGACCCAAATGTTGGATGACTGGGAGTTCGACGATTAGGAAATCTCCTGCGATATTCTTTACTAGCAGCCCTACCATTCCCATTACAGAATCCATAAACAAATATTATGTCTGCATATTCTGTGGTTGAAAACTGATGTGGCATTTTGAACGAAAGTAACAAAAGCTCTACCAAAACTAACACAATGTACTTAACGTAGATATGACAAAAGAAATATGTATTCTTGTACATATATACAATAACAATTGATAATGACAATAATGACAATCTGTATAAAATATCAAGAAACGTCAAACGGCCAACGCCAACCTTCATTTTAAACTTTTTTAGGTTTATTTTTATTTAGTACAGTTGGTGCAATGTATTATTATTTGACATAACATTTTAATCATTTACAATCAAAAAAAACTAACACATACAAGAGGTTTGACTTTTTAATCAATTTAATTTATTATTTATCGAAAATAATGCCCCAATACGATCTATGAGTAAAAATTTAAAATTGAAAACATTTGATTCTATCGTAGAGATAATACAAAGTGACAGTAAAGATGTTAATTTTCTACGTATTAGATTATGTTGTAGGAACTCATTTTAATTAAAATGTTTGAAATTTATAACATTTGTTTAAATTAATACCTTATAATTTGATACTTCATTATGGTTGTTCTATTTTTGGTAAGATTTGATCGTTCACTAAAAATTTAATAAAAGTGCGACAACATTGTCGCATATGTCGTTTTCATTGGCTATTTATATAGTTTGAAAATCACTTATTGCATTTTAAAAAAAATATATACAGGGTGTAATATTTAATACGAATCCCTAAATTAATTTTTCCAAAGCCAGTCCTGGAATTTTTTAGTTTAGCTAATACCAGTCGAATGATTGATAGTAGTGTACTGTATCATGCAAAAATTAAAAAAAATCAAATGAGCCGTATAAACACTACAGTAAAATGAAATAAATGGTCAATTACACAAATCACCCTGTTAATTAATAAAGAAGAGGAGTTGACATTTTTTAGTGGCCACGTGATATGCTCCCTGTGGGACTCTACATATGGTAGAAGTATGTTAAAGTTCCCCATGACTCACCCTGTATAAGTAAATTCTAGACAGTTATAATACCTTAACTGTCACATACAAATATGATACAGCTTCATGAACAATATTTATTTTACAATCACATACTGCTGATACACCATTTTTGTTTTTTTTTTCTGGCCATAAGAAAATAATTTTAATTAAATCAGAAATGCCTATTATAGTTATATAAAAATTACTCTTTTTAGAAATTTGACGTAAGAAGCTTCAACTACCACGACATTACCAATCATTTGTATAAATCGCAAAGTGATTTCAAAGACTCAGAATCTGTGGCAAGTATTCAAGAAATCACCAAGAAATTAACATCAACTGTCATACGACCATTACAGCAAACTTGTATGAAACCACTGGATGATCACCACGCTCTAGAATTACATAAATCCAAGAGTTATATTGTCAATCTTATTGACAGAGCTTTGAGCAAAGAACTAGGAACTGTTCCTTGTGATCGACATAGAAATAATGTAAGTAGGATTATTCTTCTTCTTTTTTCAGGATTTATCATCATTAAAATGTTAGTGATCAAATTGGTTAAAGTAATTTTGCAGATGGACATTGCTGTGTCATCTATGTAAGTTACTTTACTTAAGTTATATACTAGGTCGAGGACATTTTACTATTGTTTTTGGAAATACGTCACAATTTTAAGTTGACTTGCAATAACCTTTTCTTGTTTATTGAAACGTTCTAAACGTTTGATATTGCTTTCCTCAGAAAGCTTAGCTTTCTCCGTGGATTAGTTAGTTGTTGCTCTGGAAACCTCAAAGTCTTGTAACAGTATTTTCACAATTTGGTCACATTGTTCCTGTAGTGATCCTTTCTTAAGTTAACATGCTCCTTTCCTAACTTGGATGAACCGCACTGAAGACGACCAATACCAATACTCAGAATTACGTATATATGGTGCTTTTCATCATACACATATATTTTATTATATTTTTGCCACTTATACCGATACCTACTAACTTTATATATTTTATACTTTATACAGATTTAACGAATTTAAAACGGATCATACAGTTTAATATATGTCTGTTTGAACTGCATTTGAAATAGTGGACCAATATAAATCTTGGACAAAAATAAATCCATACCTGGGTATAGACATTGTATAAAATATCGTTCAACTATCTGTCTCACAACAATGTTACAATGTTGTTTGCGTAAAGGAAGCGATAATAATTCAGGAAATAAAGCTCGAAAAAAGTTAAAACTTCGCAATTTTTTCGTCCTGCATGGATTGAGTTGAAATTTAAACAGAAGGTAGGTGATAGCCCAAGGATCAAAATCCATATCGAACCGAAGTGCGCTGAAGGGTTTTAGGGGTGAAAACTACCATTAATTGTCAAAAATTATAAAATAACATATTAAACCTGAATATGGGTAAGATTTGGTTTCAATTAGTTAAATAATGATTATTTTATACTTTTGAATAAAGTTCCATTATATTTCAATCCTTAAAAAGCAACCCTTGTTAGAGATTAATGTAAAAAAATTACTAATTCTAAAAAAATGATTTCGCCTTGGATCGATTTGGATAAAAATTTGGATTTAAGCTCAATTCACCCACTCCTTTATAGTTTATGTCATGTTGACGAACCCTGATTGTTCTTAGGGGTGAGGACTACCCCTAATTGTCAAAAATTATAAAATAACATATTAAACCTGAATATGGGTAAAATTTGGTTTGAATTAATTAAATAATGATAGTTTCGTGCTTTTGAATAAAGTTCTATCATATTTTAACCCTTAAAAAGCGACCCTTGTTAGACATTAATGTAAAAAAAAGTAGTAATGCGAAGAAAATGATTTCGCCTTGGAACGATTTGCATAAAAATTTGAAATTAAGCTCAACTCACCCTCTGCTTGATAGTTTATGTCATGCCGATGAACCCTGATTGTTTTTAGGGGTGAAAACCACCCCTAATTTTCAAAAATTGTAAAATAATATTACAAATCTTAAGATGAGTGAAATTTGGTTTGGATTAGTTAAATAGTGATTTTTTTTATACTTTAAAATACAATTTCATACATTTTCAAACCTTAAAAATCAATTGTTATGAATGCTATAGGTGAAAACAATTTTTTGCCAAAACTTTGCAACTTTTCAACTTTTGAAAATCACCCTTTACAACATTGCAGTTTTTATAAACTAATTTAATAGATATAAATTGAAAAAAGTAGAATTAAATACAAAAAATATTATCAACATAAAAAGGCACCATATAATCTTATACATTTATATAAATAGTTGAAAATATTTACATTTATAGGTAAACCAATTATAATATTAATTTTATTCGTCATCAATTACATCTTCATCGTGATCTATGTCATCCTCATCTTCTTCAATTATTGGTGGACTATTATTGCACCCTTCACCTGAGCACCCAGAACAAGTAGAGTTACAGTATAAACCACCTTTTCTGCACCCACATGAAACGCCGCATCGTTTTTTGCATTGGCAAAAAATAATTTTCAAAAGTTCACCGGGTGCAGGTTGTTTGTTCATGCGTAAGGGTAATAACAAACCATCTTTGGAATACCATCCCCAATCTGTTGCTCTGATATTTTCATTGCCAAGCCATAGACATATGAGCAGATGTCTTATTCTGTTGTATGGTATTTTAAAAGAAGAACGCTTAAAATTTCAAATGTATAACGCCCTACTACCTAATATACCGGTTTTGTAGATTATTATGCTCCGAAATGTACTGTACTATATTAATGGAATTTTTCGGAAAAAAAAATTAATTGGTTTTTTTAACGTATTTCCTTCATTTTTAACGATATAGTGTTTCTTCAAAAACGATTTTGTAGAGGTTTTTAAGAGCTATAAGGATCTGTGAATTAAATCTTTTTGGAACCCTTGGTTTTTAAATGGGGTGAGTTTAAAGGGCTCGAAAAAGATGGTGTTTGATCGTAAATCGATGCTTTAAACGGCTATATCTCGCCAAATATTCATTGTACAACAAATTTAAATAAAGAAAAATTTTAGTCATTAAAAAAGCTACAATTTAGTATATTTTTATTTTTTTATATATTCAGTATTTTTGGGGATATTTAAAAAAAGAAGGGTAAAAAATATGAAATTGTAAATCGTTTCTCGCTTTATGCTCTACTTTTTCTAAAACTAAGCATTTTAAATGGGTCAAACTTAAAAATACATGTACAAAGAGAATTGCAGAAGGGTGAAGATCGATTTTAATTATGGGGGTGGTTAGGGGGTTGTTTTTATCGATTTTTTTGTAAAAAAATGAGGTATTGACCTTATTTTCATCACAACCCACTCAATTTGTGAGCTAGAGTCTTTTTTTATGATAGGTCTATTTATACTCTTTAAAAAAGGTTCTGTGAGTTCTCTTCCAAAAATGCATCATTTTCCCGATATTTGACTTTGAATCTTTCAAATTTGGTATTTGAAGAAAACCGCTGAACACTGCATATATCGCAAAAGCTTTTTTAAAAATGAATTGTATTTGTCTTTTTAAAAGCTACAAATTTGTTCTCTACATTTTTTTTGATAAAATGCACCATTTTCGAGTTATTCGCGAAAAATCGATTAAAAACGTCGATTTTTTCGTCTAAAAGTTGTTACTTTCAATCGCGAATAAGTTGCGCCAAAGCCTTGGGGTGGCAACCACCCCAAGGCTTTGGCGCACTTTGGTTCGATATAGATTTTGATCCTTGGCTATTATCTACCTTCTGGTAAAATTTCAAGTCAATCCACGCAGGACGAAAAAATTGCGAGGTAAAATGCTTCATTTCCTGGACTATAAGTGGTTTGACAGCATAATAAAATCGTAGATTTATGTGTAGCTTTCAATTTTTATGATTTCAGAATCCAGCAGCCCGCTGAAGTATTTAATTTTTATAATATAATTATTTGACAACCTTTTGTTGGTCAACCACCTACAGCAGAATTGAGCCGAAATACATAATATTTCGTATGTTCCGAATTTATTTCGTTCAATCTGTATATAACATGAGATCCTTTCATGAACAAGAATATCTGCTGTATTATGCTCAAAATTGTGTTAAAGTTTTCTATAATCTTAAAATGCAAATTAACTTTGAAAAAACACTAATACAACCAAAAACTTTAAAACTTTGTTTTATTAAATCTAATTATGAATTTATCCGTAAATCTATTTACACAACTGAAACCAAATCACTTCCGTTGACAACTCTCTTTTTAAGAAAAACATTCAAACAGACGCAGGAAAAATCAGCTAAATTATTAATCAAAAATGTATTGACGGTTTGGAGCAAATGACGCACGGTTTTAAACGGATTGCAACAAGTAAATTAAATTCACCGCGGCAGTTTTGATTTTAAAAGCTATTTAAATTCGGAAAATAACATCAGTCGATGTTGAACGAAGTTTCTGAGCGTGTATATTTTTATCGAATAAAAAAGATAATTTGACTACTAAACCAATCAAGTTAGTCAAAAATAAACCTTTTCTCGTCTCAACTGTATAGAGGTTTGATAGTTGAAATGTGTAGTATGAGATATTTCAAAAACACTCTCATCTAGGGATTTATCAATTTGTTAGTGGAAATATTTTTAAATAAATATTCAAAACGCAAACTAATTAATTTGCTAGAAACTTAAAAACTTGTCTACTTAGAGATTTGACGTCAACAGACAACTTTTTTAGAAACAAAAAAAGCACAAAATGAGGTATGTTAAATTAAAATTGGATGATAAATAAAAAAGTTATTGCACAATAAACAACAAAATCGCTTTTTTTTGAATACTGTTAATAACTTGAGATGACCCAGAGACATCGTAGTTTCAATCAGCAAAAGAAGCAATTTTAACGAAGATAATGAGAATGTTAATAACTATAAATATTTAGGAACATGGAAAACATCAGATGTAGACCAAACCAAAGAAATTAGGACACGTATTGAAATAGCACGTACATCATTTATTAAACTTAAAAAGTTTCTTTGTTGTCGGGATATAAGGTTAGAACTACGCCTGAGAATGCTTCTATGTTACGTGTTCTCTACTCTTCTTTATGGTCTGGAAGCTTGGACACTAAAACAAGTTCATCTGAATAAGCTGGCCGCCTTTGAATTTTGGTGTTACAGAAGAATCCTACGAATATCATGGATTCAAAGAATGTCAAACATGGAAGTAACTAGAAGGATAGGAAATGAGGCGGAAATAATATTAACTATTAAAAGACGAAAACTTGAGTACTTGGGACATGTGATGAGAGGGCAAAAATACGCATTATTACAACTTATTATGCAGGGCAAATCCGAGGAAAGCGAAATGTGGGAAGACGAAAAATATCCTGGCTTAAGAACTTAAGGGAATGGTTTGAATGCAGTAGTGCAGAACTTTTTAGAGCGGCAGTCAACAGAGTCCGCATAGCCATGATGATTTCCAACCTTCGATAGAAGATGGAACTTAAAGAAGAAGAACACCGAAAATATCAAAATATAAAGAGGAGTCCGCCAGGGTTGCGTGCTGTCCCCACTACTTTTCAATGTCTTCAGTGAAGCGGTATTTCAAGAAGCACTCTCAGACTCAATAGAAGGTATATCTATCAATGGAGAAGTTTTGAATAACTTACGTTTTGCAGACGATACAGTAATAATTACGGATAACAACAATGATTTACAGAACGTAATGTAACGCCTTAATGAACGCTGTCATGAGTATGGACTGAAGATAAATTTAAAGAAAACTAAATGCATGATCATGACTAAATCTGCACATGCAAATATCCAATTGACTATTGAAGATACTGCAATTAAGAGTGTTAATAACTATAAATACTTGAAACATGGATAACATCAAATGTAGACCAAACCAAAGAAATTAAGACACGTATTGAAATAGCACGTACACCATTTATTAAACTTAAAAAGTTTCTTTGTTGTCGGGATATAAGGTTAGAACTACGCCTGAGAATGCTTCGATGTTACGTGTTCTCTACTCTTTTTTATGGTTTGGAAGCTTAGACACTAAAACAAGTTCATCTGAATAAGTTGGCCGCCTTTGAATTTTGGTGTTACAGAAGAATCCTACAAATATCATGGACTCAAAGAATGTCAAACATGGAAGTAACTAGAAGGATAGGAAATGAGGCCGAAATAATATTAACTATTAAAAGACGAAAACTTGAGTACTTGAGACATGTGATGAGAGGGCAAAAATACGCATTATTACAACTTATTATGCTGGGCAAAATCCGAGGAAAGCGAAATGTGGGAAGACGAAGAATATCCTGGCTTAAGAACTTAAGGGAATGGTTTGAATGCAGTAGTGCAGAACTTTTTAGAGCGTCAGTCAACAGAGTCCGCATAGCCATGATGATTTCCAACCTTCGATAGAAGATGGAACTTAAAGAAGAAGAAGGTCGCGTAAGTACCCCTAACATGACTTAACGACTACTTTCGTTCGGGACCGACGGCTTTACGTGCCCTCCAAAGCACGGTAGCAGCCCAGTTAAATTAGAAATTGAAAATTTTGTCGGTTCCGGGATGAAACCTTGGGTCCTTGTGAGACGAACCACCGTGATTAATGATAATTGCAGCCTCAACAGCTACAAGACGCTTAAGCAGATGATCCATGTTAAAAAGGGTAATGGATTAGATGCACCAAACTGAGAGACCTAGTTGGCATTAGTGCATGTAGTCCAGAAGTCAAGTGTCTTACTGGAAACAATGGAATTGTCTAGTACTAAAAGATGATATTCTGTATAGAATCTTTGAGAATGATGATGGTACAGAATCTAAGCTTCAGTTGATTGAACCTAAAAGTAAAATGTCAGAAGTATTGCGTCAGTTGCATGACAGTGCATCAGGTGTACACTTTGGTATTACGAAAAGACACTGCAAAAGGTTCGAGAACGGTTCTATTGAGTGAAATGTACACACGATGTAAGACAATTGTCCCGTAAATGTAAACTGTGTGCAACCAGTAATAATCCAGTTGGTAAAAAGAGAGCGCCCATGAAACAGTACAATGTTGGTAGTCTTATGGAAAGAGTAGCAATCGACACTGCAGGTCCACTTCCAGAGACGAATGATGGATATAAATATATTCTGGTAGCCATGGATTATTTTACGAAATGGACTAAGTCCTATGCAATATCAAATTAAGAAGCTACTACCATTGCAGAAGTACTTGTTAAAGAATTATTAAGGCGATTTGGTGTTCCCTTAAAGATCCACTCCAACCAAGGGCGAAACTTTTAGTCAAACCTTTTTCAAAATGTTTGTAAATTTATTGGTGTCAATAAGACCAGAACTACATCACTGTATCCTTAATCAGATATAATGGTCAAGAGGATAAACCGAACGATGGTTAAACACCTATCCACAGTTGTATTGGAACATCGAGATTTAGACCAGCATATTCATTTATTCCTAATGGCCTACCGCTGAGCCGTGAATGAAACTACAGGCCAGACTCTAACCTGCCTGATCTCAGGTCGTTAAGTTCGTTTGCCCTGCAACCTACAGTTTAGCTGCAGACCTTTCGAAGAACATGTTTCAAGAAAAAATTCTGTCGGCAGCTCAAAGTTAAAAATGAACAACATTTATGTACTTGCCTGACAACACATCTAGTTAGCTAGTAACAGAATGAAAGATCAATATAATTCTCGATGAAAGAATGAAAGCTATGTATGTATAGCAGGTGATCTTATTTGGCTTTATAATTCACAACGTTATTGAGGCTGGTCGCCTAAACTGCAAAGATAACAGGAGGTCCGTATGAAATTAAAAAGAGAATAAATGACGTAATATACCGAATGAAGAAGTTGCCGAAAGGTAAACCAAATCAAGTTCACATAAATCGTCTTGTGCCTTATTATATCTTAAATAAAACAGAAGAAGTACGAACCCTTTAATATGAGATCACAGATTACTGGCGATCAAGCTTTAATGAATTTATGTCAAATTAGGCAGAGAGAAGGAGTGCTAGATTCAGCGTGACCACAGAAATTCAGCAGGGATTTTTTAGTGTTCCGCATAACGTTTCTAGCCCACTGTGTTGCCCAAGATCTTGGGATGACACAAGAAATCTCGTCCGTATTTTAAAAAGAAGTTCGGTCGTTTGGACGAGTTAAAAAATCAGCAGCCTTATGTTGGAAGAGTACTGATATTAGAAGATGGTTCTCGATCGTTGCTGAATATGGTGACCATGAAGTCGTGTACAGACAGGGCAAGCTACGAGGATATATGGCGTGCTCTAACGAATTTGAAGAAAATCGTGTGCAATTATGATATCAAGAATTTGGCCTTGCCCAAGAGAGGCCATGCACTAGAAAATCTGGATTAAAAGATTATCAGAAGCATGCTTGAAGTGATCTTCTGAGAAACGAAATTACGTTATTTCTTTCTGATTGGTTCATGCGGAGCTGGAGAGTCCAGTAGATTCTGCCATCCTGGGCCTACATAAAGAGTTGCTGATCGGGACCCCTAGATCTAAGAGGGGAGCAGTGTACCAAACTAGCTTATTTCGACGTAGCCCATATAATGGTTGCATCTCGAGACGACGATTATCTGTATTTGAGAAGAGCACCTTCCGGATGTATCACCCGGGATGGAATCGAAGCGCTAATGCTAATGCGCTAGAGTGAATAGAGGCGGACTATCCCAGAATATTCTAGGACATAATAACTAACATAATAAGTGCATATATATATATATATATATATATATATATATATATATATATATATATATATATATATATATATATATATATATATATATATAAGTAGCGCTGATATTAGCTAAGTTCAGTTGATAAGATATTGTCGTGTTTTAAACTTATAATTTAATATATTTATATAAATTAGAATCGCTCGTTTTATTAAAAAACGCTACAGTATTTTTACGAGTATTCAAGAACCCGGTCAACTTCGGACTGCTGTAAAACCCAGAGAAAAGAATAAAATTATACAAATTTGTAATAAAAATCAGGGTTACTAGTTTATGAGATACATCGCGAAAACCCTTTGCACCCCTTATTCCAAGATTGAGAGTATTCGGTCAACTTCGAAGCGCTGTAAAACCCAGAAAAATTATCGGAACTATAGAAATTGCCAGTGAAAATTATTGTTTGAACAACTTCCTATAATATTGCTATAATGTTAATATAAAATAACTATAAAAATTTAAAATAAAAATAAAATTTGTTCAAAAATTCATTCATTTATTCATTTGACAAATAAAAATAACCGAAAAAAGATTGTAGATAATTTAATTAGCTACATACACTGTCTAATAAAATTTTCTGTAGAGCGGCTATTTCTCGAGATGCAGCGTGAAAACCACTTACGCCCCTTTTTCCAAGATGGCGGTTGGAAACAAGCGTGACGACTGGGACCATACAAACTTAGACTTAAGCTTATTTTAACTCACCCAATATATAAAAAATGCAACTCTAATGTAACTTTTCAAGGGACTATTAACCAAATGTAATACTTAGAAATACAAGTTACAAGGATTATTCGTTGATATATCCTCTATATATACTATTTTATATCCAATACTATCATCACTTTTTATTTTACTTCAGTGCGAAACCATGAACCGCAAAAAAACCATTGAAACCAACAACCGACATATAGAAAAGTCCGAAAGAGACATCGCTGTGGAAATAACTAGTGCGCTTGCAGACTCTTTGATATCAAACGCCACGTGCCACGACATGGAGGAATCGGAGAGAAAAGCCTCAAAGGCAAAACTCTGCTACTGTAACTCAGGTAAGCGAATTAAAAAATGTCTTAGTCGTTGTTTATTTAAAAAGTTTATTTTATATAAAAATACAAGAATCCTGTACATCATATATTATAATATGGATTTTAACTTGAGGCCATATTAAAAAGTATAATAGGACTGAAACGTGAATCAACTCTGACATTTTATTTATATTTTTTCAGTAAATCATAATCAAATAAACTAGCAATTATTATTTTATTGGGAATAAGCCATAATTTAAGTTTAAATTAAAATTATTGACTTTTCAATTGAGAACGATTTCAGAAGTGGAAATTGAAACGTCAATAAATTTATTTTAAACTTCAATTGTGGCTTAGTTGTTGGCAACTTTCCAATTAAAATAGTAATTGTTTTAAGATGCCACAAAAAAATAGCTTCAGAACATTAACTCGTTGACTGCCAAGTACGAGATAACTCGTGGTTGGCTATCTGTTCTTAGACGCCAACCACGAATTATCTCGTTTTTATAAATGTTTTTGGTGGCGCCGAGCACGAGATTATTCGTGGGATATGCATGGAGATTTTATATGGGGCATCTACAAAAGGTTGTTAAAATATAGGTGGGCATCAGAAAGCAGAAAGATATATAGATCTATATGTATATGAGATCTATAAACAGATTATTTTTACTATTCATGTTGATATTCTTTGAAGCAGGATTCTGCACATAAAGGAGGCTTTTTTTCACATGCACCACATCTATATCTTGTTTCTCGACGACGATTACAAGTGGTACATATACGGCAAGCTCTTGGTGGTCGTTGTTTCTTTTTTGTTGGTAGTATACTTTCAATGTAATGAAATTTTGTTGGAGGATTTGGTGTAGCTTTGTTGGAGGATTTGAAGATCTTATTTTGCTTCCTGTTGACTTACGGTAGAACAAGTATGCATTGTTTATGGATATTTCGAGAATATGCAAAGCTGCTTTTTTCGGCCACCTTATGGTTTTTTAGAGCACTCTAATGGCTTAGCATTGCAACTTGCACACTTCTGGCATGGACCTCGACCATTTCTACTTTGTGCATATTTGAAATTCATAAAAGTTCGCGTTTGTCTTTCCACTCACACATTTCCACACATTATCTTGGCATATTCACAAATTTATTTTAATTAAACTTTTTTTTAGAAGAACCGATCTACATAAAGCAACTAAAGCAGCTACGGTGGGGTCATCTAAAGCATATTCAGCGAGAAGTAAAACGATTAGAAGACCTAGAAAGATTCCTAGATTCATGTTCTATAACTACAGTTCCAGAAATATAGTGTGTAAAAGGAAACAGTGTTATTATTATTATTTTTTATTATACAAAATATTTTAATAAGCTTAAACTAAAATATTTACATTTATACAGGTAGGTTTTTATACAAATAACTACAATTCGGTAGTATTTTACAAATAGGAATTATTTTATAGCCAGCCATTATAGCCCAGTCAAATAAAATTTTAATACACATAGAGCTTTTTGTACTGGGTTTCAAATTGGGCGTTTTCCAAATTACAGTTTAAATTAAAAATTACCAGCAAAACGTATTTTAAAACAAAATTACAGTATCGCTTAAAATAAACAGTACTAAAACTAAAACATAGATGTCTCTTTGTGAGCGCTGTCATATTCAAATTAACTTATATAGACCTGTCAAGTAATCGTTAAACAATTAATTATTAAGGCTTAATTACTAAAAATGGTATCAAGCACAGAGGAGAAAGTGTTTTTTGTGGAGCATTATTTTCGCTTATACGGAATCGGCCGATGTAATAGTGCAAATCTGCAATACGTATGTGATCCATTCTCACAACGGTTTAATAAACCTTCTCCAAGTAAAGCTGTAATTTTGAAGGTTTCTGAAAAGTTTAGGAATACGGGTAATGTGCCATTAGGTATTGTGCCAACGAAAAGAAAGGGCGTCAGGGCGTCCCAGGGCAGTTAACAACAACGATAACCATAAACGTGTTTTTGAGCGAATCTTGGAAAATCCGAAAGCCAGCCAGACAAGAACAGCGTTGCATCTTGGCTTAAAACGAACGTCCTTGCAAAGAATACAGATACATATACTAAATACATCAACAATTACATCCTAGGTATTATCACAGTAGGGTGAAATATTGTACCAGAATTCTTGCATTACAGTATGAAAATCCTAAATTGTTAAAAAATGTATGGTTTTTAGACGGAGTACATTTTTATTTGTCAGGCCATGCAAATCGTCGCACAAATCGATTTCTCGGCTTTGCTAGGCCATATAAAGTTCAAGAAGTTTCTTTACATAGAGCAAAAGTGAGTGTCTGGTGTGCAGTTTCAGGACACGGAATCATTGAAAGGCTTCAAAGAAAATGGTAGGCAAGTCACACTTAATCAACAGATGTACATACAATTTTAACACTCTTTATCCCTGATCTACGTCAATTTTGTCGTGCACGTAAAATGGCATTTCGAGACCAATTTTTTCAGCAGGATGTGGGGTAACTTACCATACTGCTCTCACAGTTCGTCAATTTATTTAGGGTCATTTTCCAAACAAATTTATTTGACGATTCACTGACTTTCCTTATACTGCACATTCTCTAAAATTAACATCTTTAGACGCATACATTTGAGGCATTGCTAAAACTGCTGTTTTTAAACGGACACCACAAACCATCAATGTGTTAAAGGATGCCGTTAGAGCCTTCGTCGCAGACTTGAGATAACCTTTATTTTATAACATTAGGAGAAATCTTGCATATCGGTATGAAGTCTGTCTTAAGAGAGGAGGAGCTCATTCAGATAAAGTGTCAATATTATGTATTTTTTAAAACAATAAGATAATTACAAGTTCAGTACTGTTTATTTTGGGCTATACTCTATATAATATTTATTCCTCGTAAAATTATTCATAAAAATCCTTATGTAAATAAATTAAACAATTTTACAGTAGCCCTTTTGTAGGATGTATCGTTGAAATTTATATTTTTCAATACACATCCTGCAAATAGGAGTCTAAACGAAAAAAATTAGCCCTTATAGAGACCCTGAAATATAAACATAACTAGGGCAAATTTTAAATGGAAAAAGTAAACTTTTTATTTAACAAATAGAATAAACTAATATCAATATTTTTTTACCATTTTTTTTATCTTCAGGGTATCAAATACCTACTCTAGTCTTTATAGACGAAATGCCAGTGGACCTCTAAAAATCATACGAACAAGTCAAAGTTTACATAAAATGTTAACTTTAGGACTCCAAAAATGTGCAAAAAGTTTGCTGTTCCAATCCTCTTAAAACTCTTCTTAGGGGTGGGGGCGAAAAACATCGATTAACTAAGAATCTATACACTGTAGAAGAAAATGTTTAAAAAAATTTGTATTAAGACAACGGTAAAAATGCGATATCTTTCGAACAGGGTCTTCAATTGACAAAAATCGAAATGCGTTTTAAGGGTTTAAAAAGCAGCTTTCAGTTTTTGTACGCAATTTTTCCCATTTTGCTGCAAATAAAGTCAGTTTGTATAAAGTTGATCTATAATTATCATGAGATAAATAAAATTTATCACTTCCATTGACAGATTCCTATGGAATTTCCATTTTCAGAGCCTAATCTTCTAAACATACAGCATGAAATTTTGATTTTGAGTTTTGGCAGCAAATATGAGGCATTTAAAATAACCCGTAAAAGCGCTGAATTTTCACATTACAAACGATCTAAAACACTTTTTTTGATTGCACAAGTATATTTTTTAAAACTACACAACCTCAACTACAAATTCCACCTAATGCTCATTCAGCGTTTTTTAGGCATATTTCAAATGCCTCATGATAATAAAACTCAAAATCAAAATTTCGTGTTATAGGTTTTGAAGATTAGGCTCTAAAAATGGAAATTTCATAGCAACCAGTCGTAGGAAGTGGTAATTCATCTAATAAGAATCGTTAAAAATGGGAAAAATTGCACAAGGTTAATTTATTGAATCGCTTTAATAGAAATTTTAATTAAACAATTGATTTCGCAAGTAACTGATATTTAAAATCGCCAGTCACTTTAAGAATTGTGTCCAAGATGGGGGTTTTAGGGTTTTAGGGGAAGCCAGTGGGTAGTAGTGGTAAACTTTTTGGCATTTTTTTAGTGTCCCAAAATTGACATACTCGCCAAAATTCGGCTTATTCGTATGATTTTCAAAGGTGAAATCTCTGACGTCTGAATTAAAAACCAAATTGTGAGACAACTTTTGAAATTATCTATCCATTTTTTAATATTTTAGTGCCAATTATAATTTCAACGATTTTTTTATTATATAAACAAATGTTACATAAAATGTCTAACGAAAAACATTTTCTTTTTAAACTTAAAAAAAAAGTAAAAATTTAAAGGGAACGACTTTTGTGAATTATATAAAAATCATTTTTTTTTTAATTGTGTCGTTTTATTCACGTTTTATACAATAATATCGTAAAACATCCTAAATAATTTCATAAAAAAATAATTTCTTGTACTTAAACTTTGATTTGAAAAAAAAAATATATTTGACTGGGCTATTAATGAAACCATGCTTTACCTTAAAGAAATTTCGGAGGTAAAAAATCAATTTCATTCATTTATCTACCGTTTAAATATTTATTCACATGACCATGATTGTATGACATTAATCAAAGTTCGTTTGTTGCTGTCACGGCTCCATTAATTTTCTTTTGTCATGGCTCCAACAGTAAAAGTCTTATATATAAAATATAAAGTATAGAAATAATGGCGAAAGGAACTGAATAAATAATGCTAGGTTATTAGCAAAATTAATTACATTTCTTCTACGTAGATATAGAGTTTGCGATACATATTCAGAACCAACTGACCAAAAAGTAAAGAAACTAATAAAACTTTTAAAAAGCAAGAAAGACCCAGGAAAGAGCAGTTTCCTGGCCAATTTCTTAATAAGAATCGATGAATAAAAACAAAAACATGGCTATCAAAAACCAAATATAAGATAGCTATGTGATATGCAGGACGTGATACGATTGGAAAAAGAGAAGCGCTGAAGAAACTAGAATAAACTTATAACTAGAATGAAAAATATTTATCATTATCATCACTCTGGCTTTAAAATCCTATGTATGCTCTAGATCTCCTTAAGACATTTCCTCCAGTCTTACCTATCCATCGTTTTCCTCCACCAAACATGTACTCCCATGTTTCGCATATCTTCTGAGATGTTATCAATGAATATTTTTCTAGGTCTTTATATTTTTTTCTCTGCCAAGTGATAGTATGCAGATAGCGGGTAGGAACTCTTTAAATTCTTTAAGGTAGTCCTATCAGGGAAAATAAATCAACCGGGGGTTTCCTGACCCAGTAAACTAGTACCTGTTTAGGGTTCCTTGTCCAGGATTACGGATGAAGTCCGCAACGGCAGCCACGGCGGAGAAGCAAAACTTCGGTACGATGTAGATGGCGTAAGTGGCAACCCTCAATTTTAGATATGATATAGAATCAAGTCGAACCAAGGAATGATCGGACGAACCAAGGAATGGTCAACGGCATAAGGATGCAAAAGGCAACGTGGCAACGAATACCAAGATTCGGCAGGGGGAAAAATAACAATGATGACAGGGCTCGTCAGGTCTTTAACCAACGAAATCCCTGAGTACTAAAAATACAAAATTCAACTTTTAAAATGTCGACATGGAATGTTAGAAGTATGTATGAGCCTGATAAACTAAGGAACATAAAACAAGAAATGATAAGACTTTTTGAGAATAAGTCACATAAGATGGCTCGACTCCGGGGAACTAAGTTCAACCAATGGTCGATTTTTCTGCTCTAGTAGTACCGACAGCCAACATCGGTATGGAGTAGCAATTATCGTCAGTAAAACGTTGCAAAATCAGTTTTAGGCTTTATACCAATATCGAAAAGAATTATGCTAATACAAATTATTACAACACCTGGGAAATTAAACCTTATTCAGATTTATGCGCCAACCGCCGATAAAACAGAGGAAGAAATTGAAAAAATTTACGATGACCTTCAAAAATCCCTACAAAATATAACATCTAGAGATATATCAGTAGTCATGGGTGATTTTAACGCCAAAGTTGGAGAAGGAAGATGTAAGTCTACTATAGGACCATATGGTCGAAATGAGAGAGGAGAACGCCTTATAGAATTCTGCCTGGAACATAATCTTGCGGGAATAAATACTTCCTTTTAAACTGCCTAAACAACACCTTTACACTTGGAAATCGCCAGCTTACAAGGTCGATAAAATCGTTAAAAACCAAATTGACTATATATTAATAAACCACAGATATCAAAACGCAATACAATCAGTGAAAACGTATCCAGATGCAGACGTGGCGTCGGACCACAATCCTCTTGTAGCAAAGTTCCAGCTTGACTTAAAAAAGATAGAAAATAGCTACAGAAGTGATAAAATAAACATACAATAATCAAATAAAGACGTCAAAGAAAAACTGAAACAAGAAATTAATGCAAATATATTAATGGTGATGTAGAACAACAGTAGCAATTCTTTAAAAATGCAATTATCGAACCAAGTCGCAGAGAACTCACAACGATCAGATACAAGAAAGGAGATTGGATGACTGAAGAAATCTTGGAAATTATGGAGGACAAAAGAAAGCAAAAGAATATCAACATAACTCAGTATCAACAGCTGCATAATCAAATAAGAAGAAGCTAAAGAGACATATTTAGCTGTAAAATGCCAAGAAATTAAAGACTTACAAAACAAATATGATAACTTCAATCTCCATAAGGAAGTTAAAGAGTTAGCTGGGGTAGCAAAATAAAAAACCTCAAGCATACTATTGGACAAACATGGAAACATTTTAGTGAAGACAGAACAAAAATTAGGTAAGGTGGACAGAATATATAGAGGAATTATTCCATGACGAGACAGGAAAATATATATAAAGATAATCAGAAAAAAGACGAGGGACCTGAAATAACAAAGTCAGAAGTTATGCATTCAGTAAAGTCCATGAAAAATAATAAAGCTGCTGGTCCAGATGAAATACCAAGAGAATTGCTAAAACTCGTCAATGAAAAAAACATAGATCTTTTAGTCCAACTACTGAACGCAATCTATTACACAGGAATCATTCCACGTGAAATGCTGACATCAACATTTATTTGTCTACCAAAGAAAGTAAATGTCAAAGAGTGTAGTAATTATCAAACGATCAGTTTAATATCACATACCTTAAAAACCCTGCTAAAAATCATCCTTAATAGAATGCTAAGCTGAAGATGGATATTAGTGATTCCCAGTTTGGATTTCGGAATGGAGTGAACATCTTAAGACTCCTAATTCAAGGAAAAATAGAGGGTAGGAGAAGCGTAGGAAGAAGACGCGTTTCCTGGTTGAAGAACTTGAGAGAGTGGTTTGGTCGCAGCTCAAGGCAATTGTTCAGAGCAGCTGCGTCGAAGGTCAGAATAGCCATGATGATTGCCAACCTTCGTAGCGGAGATGGCACTTAAAGAAGAAGAAGTGATAAAATTGTAGAATCAGTTGAAACGATAATACCAGAAAAAACATCAAAGGCAAAGCAACTTGTCATCGGTGTAGGAAATATTACTCAATAATAGACAATGAACAATGTCATAATTCTAACATCAGAAAAGAATAGAAAGATAAAAGTAATTTGGTAAATATCTTACAAAGCATATTATTTATTACTTATTTTAAAATTTACCTTTTACTTAATACATACATACAAAAAACTTTAATTTACAACAATTAAATCATTAAAAACATATGTACAAAATTATACAACTTTACAAACGTCAGTTAATTCGTCTTCTTCGGAATCCTCTGTATATGGCTGTAAGCAGTAGAAATATCCGGAGCCTCCTCTGTAACATAATCTTCAACCATCTTCCCATTATCTCTATTTCGCCTATTTCTATTCTGCTCCTTCAGAGCTTCATCGCTAGAAAAAGGAATATATCTAGGATGTTCGTTTGGTTTCTGAGTGAAAATATCGCTGATAAACTTCGGTGTCAAGTTTGCGACGAACGGTAAGACGTTGTTTCTGGCGAACTGTTCCGCTTGATGGAGCATCTTTCCTATATTTTCTGGAATTACCTGTACTGTGTTTATCAGCGAATTTAATGGATCTTTTGGAGCACTTCTTTCTGCCTGTAATTATGTTTTATATGAAAATATAATATTAAAAAAGGAAAAATGTTTCGTTTGGGTAAGTTATCTGAAAATGAGTTAATAATTACATAAATGAAATCCGTTGATAGTTGAAGACATTATTCTGTTTGTGTAAAAGTTTATATAAAACCCTTAATAACCACCACGTTGGAATTTAACTCTTTAACTGAAACTGGGTAAGGACTATGTATATTTATAAAAGGAATGGATAACAGCTTAAGACAAATAGAAATAAAACTAAAAGGAAAAAACTGTAAACATTTAATTAATTTCAAGTATAGTGCGTCTGTTTATCCGCTTATACGTATTTTACCGTAGAAGGCATCTTCGGAGCGGTTATTCACAGACGCTCTAAACGTAAAAACAAATCTTTCCTGTCGTAGTAGAGCAACTCCAAAATGACTTCGTGCGGACGCAAATAGAGACATCTGATAATGAATCCGTAAACTAATTTTTCGAAACCAAATTTAGATTTCTGCTTTCATCTGTGCCTTCTAAGAATTGCAAAGCAAAATAGACGTTGATAAAGATGTAATTAGAGACATGTAGAATCTAAAATTGCATTCCACAATATATCTCATTAACTAAGCAAAAATCCTTAGCGAATTGGTTGAATCTAGTACAAAGTAGTAATTACATCTAAAAGTTATTACATCTAAATTTGATTGCTTTATCAAATAATCTCGAGAAATGGTTTATAAAAATTTGAAAGCACAGACTCATCCTCCGTTCGATAGAGATCGCTACAAGTAAATTAATTTAAAATTAAAACAGCGCTATCTGGCGGAGAATTTGGAACTTTTGTCATAGAACCGGCATAGAAACACTACTTGCAAGTTTAACTGTAATATGGTTCAAGGAGCCATTAATATTTATTGGTAATTTGAACCAATTTTGTCAAAAATGTATAAAAAACGTTTTATGAGCAAAAACGTTTGTTTCACTTTTTATGATTAAAAAATTAAAAAATTAAAAATTAAAACTTTGTTAAAAATACAAAGTAAAATCAGCTATATATCCTCACTGATTTATCATCAATCTTCCCTCATATAGCTTTTAGACAATTCAAAAATCTGTACAACCGGAAATCGATGATTTTTCCACATATTGACTGAAGTAATTCGTCATATAAAGCAAGGGGATTACGTCCAATGCTGGATTTTGCTACACTACAAAAACAGGACAGATTGCTTAACTCTACATCTTTCACAGAAATCGTTTACAAGTTGGCAACTATAATGGATCAGACATTTTATACTGTATGTTTCAGGAATCAACGGATTTTTAGTTTTAATATTTGTGCACACAAAATAAGATTAAAGGTTATTAACTACGGAAACGGGTTAAAAAGAAAAATAAATTAGCTACAAAATTATATTTAAAAAGTGTTAAGCTACAGTGTTTGCTGCCTTGATCTTTTGGTATCGAAATATTACGTAGATCCTGAACAATTAGCTGAGTTTTTTTTAGTTTTTTACTCATTGTTATATCAATGATATCAGCGGTTATTGTTCTGTAACGTTTTTGTATCTTATATCTATTTTGAAGTCCATAACTTTTTAATATTACAGTACAGCGATTGTACACACTGGGCCAAAATTAACCGGCCACCTTAAAAATGGATAATTTTTGATTACTTATATGTCCTTAACCTGTTGTTCTATTTAAGTGATCATTTGAATAGCTTAGAATAGCTAAGAATATGTTATAGCCTTATTCCTTGATAATATCGTTATAATAACATGGTTGCTAAACAGGTAAATTTTCATTGTATACTGGGTGTACGACTTAAACTGTATTTTTTTCTTAAAGTTTGCATCACCCTATGGAATATTCTAGCATTTATAAAATATTGGAATTAAAACCTAACTATAGCCTCATGTTTTCTAAACATTTTGTTTTTTTGATTTATTTGCATATGTTGGATAATAAAAAATTTAGGTAGTTTAACAACTCGCCATGCTTTTTATCAATACAGATTTAACTCGCCAGTAAAATTAACCCCACCACCTTTATTATTGTTTTTTTTTACATTGCTTGTAACAGTTTGTTTCCTATTTGTGTCATCGAAGGATTTTTGACATATAACCGATGTACGACATTGTTGCAAATCTGTTTTCGTGTTAGTAACAATTTTTAAACAATTTATAATTAAAATTAACAATTGAAATTGTAACTTTATATTATTGTGAGCGAATATTGTTTTTAAGTTAAAATTTTAGTGCTTCTTTATTGTTTGTGTTTGTATTATTTTATTGTATTGTTTATTAAAATAAGAAAAACATCGTATCTGGGCCACATACTTCGAAACGATAAATACTCTCTTTTGCACGTCATCATGCAAGGAAGAGTAGAGGGAAGAAAAGGCTTGGGAAGAAAGAAGAAATCTTGGCTGAGTAATATCAAAGATTGGACTAACCTCAGTGTTGAACAGATATTTCACGTTGCAAAAATCGGGAAGCGTTTAAAGAAGTAATCGCCAACCTTTGTTAGAAGACGGCACAAGAAGAAAAAGAATTGTTTGTGATTTGAAAAATGCCCCTCGGTCCAACTGATGCTGCTAGGGCAGTGGCTTTAGTTATTGCTGGTTACAGTCAACGTCATATTGCTGGTATACTCGATGTACCCAGAACTACAGAACAAGATGCCATCAGACGATTTTAGGAGACAGGATCGTACAACCGCATTCCAGGTCAAGGCCGAAAACGATGCACTTCAGTTCGAGATGGATTGTTACTAAAGTATTGAGAAATCGCTTTTGCACCACTTATGAAGCTTATAGGTCTCTTCTTGAGGTGAAAAACGTTAGTGTGAGTAGACAAATGATTAGAAGAAGACTGTCAGAAAAAACTTGAGGACTTTTCGTCCAGTTTGCGCATCACAACTGCTCCCACAACACCGTAGGACTAGACTTCATTTTGCGCGAGAATATGCTAATTGGACTATGGCGAAATTTAAGAATATACTATTCTCATATGAGAGAAGAATAGCCCTAAAAGGTTAAGATCGACGCCAACGTGTCTATAGGCGTCAAAATGAAATGTTATGCTGCATGCGCTATAACCGAAACATTGGCTTACCAAGGAGGGTTAACGATGATTTGGGGAGGTATTTCTTACGAAGCGTGTACTGATTTTGTTGTGTTCGGTAGAGAAAGTGTGAATGCCCAAGTATACGTGCAAAAAGTTGTCCAAGACCATGTCATACGTTTTGCACCATTCATTGGTGATACCTTCAGACTAATACATGACAATGCACGTTGCCATACAGCAAGATCTACCCGTGAGTACCTTAATGAGGTCGGGATTCAAGTTCTACCATGGCCAGCACACAGTCCCGATCTCAATCCAATTGAGCACATCTGGGACAACCTCACAAGACGGGTAAGAGCAAGAGTACCAGTCCCTGCATCCGTTGAAGAGCTGAATATGGCTGGGGTAGAGGAGTGGTACAATATCCCCCAATCTGATATCCAGAATATCATGAATGGATAGCCAAACCGGCTCCAAGAAGTCCTAAAGGCTAGAGGCGGCAACATTCATTATTGATACTCAATTTTTTTCAATAAGACTTTGATTTCCAAAACATTGTTAATTTAAATTTTCTTCTTCGAAGATTTTATCCATTGGATTTTTACTGTAACAACTGACTTTTTTTCAAAAGAATTATTTTTTCTACATGTCTAGTTGTTAAAGTACCTAACTTTTGTATTATCCAACATAAACGAACCAATCAAAAAACAAAGGTTTTAATTTCAATATTTTATAAATGCTAAAATATTCCACAGGGTGATGCAAACTTTAAGAAAAAAACACAGTTTAATTCGTACACCCGGTATACAATGAAAATTTACCTGTTTAGCAACCATATTATTATAACGATATTGTCAAGGAATGAGGCTATAACATATTAAAAAATCACTTAAATCGACTAAAGGTTTAGGAGATACCTATAAGAAATAAAAAATTACCCATTTTTAGGTAGCCGGTTAATTTTGGCCCAGAGTGTACTACGCGCAATTTACCGCCAACATACATGCAATTTTAAACGTACATGATTACGAGCCGACTAAAGATGTGACATAATGACACAATGAGTGAATAGTAGTAATATTCTACGATTAATTAATAAATTGTCTTTCCTTCTTTCCTCTGAATTGTAAAAGTTATACTTTATTTTAGATGTCCGTGCAGTAAAAAAATGTGCAATTTCTGTTTGAAAAGCAGTATTTAATAGGCTCCCTATTAATAAGAGTTTTAAACAGTCTCCTAGACGACCTGGACAATAGTTAATGATCTTATAATGGGGAATGTGTTGCTTGTGTGAGTCCATTTCAAATAGGTAAAGAAATAATAAATAAAACTTACTCACAATCAATTTAATTTAACTATTCAGACGACCGGTTTCGCTTTCTACAATATGCAAATCATCTTCAGGTCTCGATACAAAGTTAAATAAATGCTAAAATAATAATAAACCCATATTATTATTTCGTAGCTAATATGGGTTTATTATTATTTTAGCATTTATTTAACTTTGTATCGGGACCTGAAGATGCTTTGCATATTGTAGAAAGCGAAACCGGTCGTCTGAATAGTTAAATTAAATTAATTGTGAGTAAGGCTTATTTATTATTTCTTTACCGATCTTATAATGGTTTTATTTACAAGTGTGCTATTGAAATATAGCCGCAGGTACATTCCTTTACTGCACGGACATCTGAAATGAAGTATAGGTGACAAGCATTTAGCTTTACAAGTGTATGTACCTGTAAGCAAGCTAGAGCATTAAGAGAAAATTTCTAGAGATTAAAAAATGCTAATAATTGACCAACGTTTAAAAAAAATCAACCGAAATGTAAAAATTACCGCGTTTTGTTCATGCTTACAATTATTACACAATATGTTTATTAAGTGTCTATTAATTAAGCAGATGTAATTACATATTAAACCATAGTTTTTAATTTCAAACAACTTTTC